GGACCGGGGTCTTCACAGGATGCTCAGTATGCAGCCCCAAATCGTCAGACATGCAAAACAATAGGACAATTTCCTCTTTGTCGAGGAAGAACACCAGCTATCCGTTTCCTCTTGGCTGCAAATTCACCTGTCATTGCCTGCTCTGCGAAAATAGACCTGCTCGCTGTAAAGGAGGAATGCCCACCATGATTTTGTTCGGTGTCACTGACCAGGTATCACAGGGGGATCTTACAGCCAAGAGGCAGTGAATGGCAGACTGGCGTGATGTACATACAGCTGTGTGTGCGGCAAATGGAAATACGCACACAGGTGGGACGCAGGGAGGTTCCGAGCAGCTTTATTGGCTGTAGCCCCAAGCTGGAAGTGGAATGACACCCAGCAGCAAAAATAAACTAACAGCTCCCCAGCGCAGCAGCCTGGGCACAGCCGTCAGCATGATGGCAGGTGAGGGAAACCGCCCAGAGGATACACACCATGCACACTATCCCCGCAGCGCTCAAGCAGGCGGCGCTGTCTGCGCGGCAGGAGCCAAGGTAGCGGTGCTCTCAAGGGCGGGAGGGCGGGGCTGTTTCCCGACTTGGGGGCGGGGCACATTTGTAGGTCTCTAGGTCTGTTCAGGGACAAGCTGGGGCACTGTCCCCCTCAGTCTCCCTCCCATCCTTTGCCCCGCCCGCCATCTCTGGCATCAGCCCATCCCAAGAGGCCCCAGCGTCTGTGGGGCTCCCCAGGCCGGGTTATTCCCAAATGCCCAGTTGAGGGGAGCTCCGTTCAGAGAGGAGAAAACACGGGCTGGGAGATGCTAACGAGCTTCACGTTCCCCTGGGCAACTCCTGCCTGGAGATGCACCCCTTGAACTTGGGGGTGGGGAGGCTGGCTGAGTGCTGAGGCCTCGCCTCCCCCACTCCAGGGCTCCAGGGCGGTGCCAGTGCCAGGGCATCTGGATCCAGCCGCAGGAGGAGCTCGCCTGTCCCTTCTTGGCCCCTGAGGCTGATCCCCGCCCCCCACCCCCACCTCTGGTTGGCCTCCCAGCCTGCAATGGACCAAATGGGGAGCCTGGCCGCTCCTTCCTCTTAGCTCCAGGCTGGAGCCCCTGGCCCTGGGCGCCGGCCCACCAGACCCCCTCTCTGCTCCCTAGAAGCCGGTGGCGGCCTGTGGTTGTGAGCAGGGCTGCACTCAGACGTCTGAGGGCTCCTGTGGGGTGAGGGCCTGGGGAGGAGCCCGCAGGGGCCACCTACTCCTTCAGCACTGCAGGTACAGGTGGCCCCAGCGCGGCTGGGGGTGGGGCAGGCCAGGCAGCCCCTCCCCCTCTCTGAGGAGCTGTGAGCCCCTCTCCAGGCCTCCTTCCCTAGGTGACTCAGGTCGGCCTCATACCCTCCCAGACACTGTGTCTGGGAGGGTGGAGTGTTTGGGAGCCTGGATTGTCCAGTAAGTCACCCCAGCTCCCCATTTCATTTGGCCCAGGGACTGAGCACAGCGCCGGCAGGCTGTGCAGCCTTGACTGGCCTTGGGTCCAGCTAGTGTGCACATGGCCCCGCCCCACCCAGCCCAGCCCCCCTTCTCTGATTAGGGGTCGTGACCTCGCTTTTCTGAGGGCAGCTCTATAGCCAAGAGCTCTTCTTTGCCATGGAGACCACTTAATTTTCTGCCTCAAGGGCAGCTCAGACCCCTGGGCTGGAGAGCTGGGGGCAGGGAACGTGCCTCTGAGGCCATCTGAGGTCCTGCTGCCCAGGCAGGCTGGGAGACTGACCCACATGTGAGGATGTGCACCTGATGCTTAGGGGTCAGAGGGCAGCCCGCGGCCCAAGGCCAGAGGTGAGGTCATTCTGAGACACCCCGCCCCCAAGCCCCACCTGCTGGCCACGGCCCCCAGGAAGGCGGCACAGGTAGAAAGCTCTGCATTGGCAGGTTATTATTAACCTGGTCCGCGGTGACATCACTCGTAGCCAATGGAAGGCGGGTTTATTTCCAGGGCTGACAGCTTGATAACGGTTAATTTTAGCTGGATCTTCTTTCCCCAGGCTCGTGAAACCCCCGCAGTCCAGCCAAGAGGGGGCTGCCTGTGTTGCCCCTAACCGCTCGCGGCTGGGCCTGGGAGCTACGGGGCGGGGCCAAGGAGGTGGGGCGGGGCCTGCACCCTTCGTGCTGGGAGGCTGCCCTAGCCTGGTTGGCTGGACCCCCCCTCCATTCCACCGCCCGTGCCCTGGGCTGCTTGGGGCCGCTGTGCCCATTGGCTCAGACGTGGGAGAAAGCCGCTGTGGCTGGGGTGGCGGAGCCTGACCTTGGGGAGGGGCAGAGCCCGGGTGGGGCCCTGGAGGGCTCGTTTGGAAGTAACAGGGGCCTGGCTCAGGCCCTCCGAGCCAGCTGCAAGCCCGGCCTCCTTGCTCTGTGGCCTTGGGCGCTGTGCTTTGCCTCTCTGTGTCCAGCTGGCTCTTGGCCCACGGGTCCTCAGGCTGCCTGGGGGACCCCCCGGCACTCGGCGAACTTGCAAGGCTTGGTGACCGTGGCAATTCAGTACCTGACGCAGTAAGCGGTATTGCTTAGTAGTTAGTAGTTATTCAGTACTAGTTAGTGACTAGCAGTAAGTTAGTACTATTCACTAGTTACTAAGTACGAATCAGTCGCTAGTAGACATCAAGTGCTACTTCGTAGTTAGTAGCTGTTTAGCAGTTATTTGCACCACGCAGCGGTGGCAGCTGTCTGCTAGTTATTTATATGACGCAGTGGTTAGGAGCTGCTGACCAGTTACTTGTGCCATGCCTCGGTTAGTAGGTGAGCACTGCTGGTGTGTCAGTATTTAGCATCATACCTTCCTTAGTCTCACTGCCTGCATGAGCCCAAGTGTCTCCAGATGGCCCAGCGGCCTGGACTCCCGGGGCCCCGGAGGCAGTCCAGCTGATGGGCACGTCCTGGGGACACAGAGGCCCTTTGGAGAAACCACTGGAGACCCCTTGCCAGGGCCAGCGAGGGAGTACACTGCATTCCACCAGCAGTGGCCACTGCTCTGGGCAGCCGGGCCTCCCAGCACAGACTAGCCCCTGGCACGGGCACCCCACTGCGGTTTGATTCCTGCCAACTGCCAGCTGTGGGTGAGGGGGTGGAGAGGCGAGGCTCAGACCTGTGTAGGGGGTGTCTGATAGACACCCTCTGAGGCTGCAGGCAGCTGGTGGTCCCTTGGGGGGAGTTGGGGTGGCATCCACAGGGACCCAGGCCTCCTGCCCTCTTGGTCTGTCCCATCCCAGCCTCAGCCAGTCACAGCAACTCCCAAATCCTGCCTAACCTTCAGCAAGAGGGGACGTGGTAAATATAGAGGCCAGCTGGGCAGGGTGGGGCGGGTCACGCCTTCTCTGCAGGCGTTTATTTTTAATCCCTGGCTCCCGTTTGGTGGTATCAGCAGCACTTGGAAGGGCTGGGTCCTTGCAAGCTGCTCCCTGCCTGTTCTGTGAGGCAGACTCTGGGACAGTCCGGAAGGAGGGCCCCTCCCCTCCCTGAGAGACCCTCCCCATGGGCTGGGGAGACCTGCTCGGCCCCAGCCACTGCCCCGGGCCCGTCTTTACCTGCTGACCTGGTGGAGGTCCCATCTCTGGGGCTCTCCATGGGCATTGCCCATCAGAAGGTGCTAGGCACAAGGCCTCCGCTCTCACCCACTCAACACACATTTTTTTAAACCCTGCCTAACCCTCTCCTGGACCCTGTGGTTACAAAGCTGGAAAAGATGCAAGCGTCCTCCGCATCTGAGGCAGACAGGAGGGGTGGCCACGGGGAGATGCAGTCATGGGTGAACTGACAAGATCAGAGGTCCCTGGTAGAGGCCCACAGCCTTGGTCTTCGCTACCCCATTCCCCTCCTCAAGGTCTGTTTTGGCCACTACGCTGGTATGACCAGGATCCTCAGTGACCATCGCACTTCTGACAGACTGGCTGTGGTTCGGCACTGTGACCCCACCAGGGCCAGGAGTGAGGGAGGCCGAGGGGCCACAGCCTGGAACTCTATCTGGGAACTGATTGTTTCACTGGCAAACTCTGCTTCCCTGGGAACCCTCGCCTATGCGTGCAGACTAGCGCAGCCCTTGAAGACTTCGGTGGGCCCTCGGGGTGGACTTAAAGTATTCCCTGCACTCAGGGGGGCCCCGGGTGGAAAACAGTTCTTTCCAGGGGCCTCTGAGGGAGGTGGTCTGACTGGGCCTGCTGATGGCGCCTCAGGCCACGTGGCCAGCTGAGGGGACCCTGGAGGTCCCTGTTCAGGGCCAAATCATGGGGCAGATAGGGAGAACCTGGCTTTGAGGGCCTGTTGAGGTGAGCCCGTGCGGCAGGTACGTTGAGGCAGGGGTGCTGGAAACAAGCCGATTCTGGGGTCTCACCAGGACGGCCTGAACCCCCAGGCCACCTCCGGGAGAAGTCTCAGAACACAGCTCCATTTGAAAATTAGGCACCAAGGACATGCAGGGCCAGCCCTGGCCCTGGGAGACGCAGGCAGGACAGCTGTCCAGACCCCCGACCTCAGCAACCCCCTCCCAGACCTGACCGGTTCTTCCCCTGCCCCACCTGCCCCCTCCCTGGACCAGCCTCATCCTTGGGCCTCCTTTTATGATTAAAATGTCTTTCTGTCTTGTGTGGGGCCCACTGCTCCTGTCTCCACGCGCCTGAGCCTGGTGCCTCAGTCTCCGCTTTATCTGTCCTCTGCCTCTGGCTGTGTGTCTCTCCGGTGCCTCTCTCCATCTCCGCCCCTCCCTCCCTCTGTCTCCCTCTCCGGGTCCCCACCCCTCCCCTGCCTCCGCGGGTGTTTGTCTCCACGCGCCGCCCTTCCTCGGGGGCTCTTCTCTGCCTCTGTAGCTCGCTCCCTCGCCGCATCCCCTTCTCACGCCCCTGCCGCTCCCGCAAGCGTCCGCGGGCCGCCTTCCCTGCATCCCTGCATCCCTGCATCCCTGCGTCCCCGCCCCCCGGCCCCGCCCGCGCGGGTACCGCATTGCCGTACTGCAGGGGCGCAGTGCATTGCGCCTGCTCCGTCAATAGGTGGACCCCCTCCTGGAGAGATAAAAACCGCCGGCGCCGGTGCTGCCAGTCCCTCTGGCTGAGACCTCGGCTCTGGGTAAGGACGCTGGGCCTCCGGGTCCCCGCCCCCGCGCCCAGCTTTCCGCAGAGGGTCCTTTCCCTGGGGACCGGCCCTAGGGGCAGAGAGGGGCCAGGCTCGGCGCCTGGCGAGGCTGCGCTGCTCACCGCGGAGATCGGCCGCGGCCTCGCACTCCCGGACCCGGCGCGGGCGGTCAGTCCCCGGGCGTGGGGTAGGGGCACAGCGAGGGGGGTAGGGGCACAGCGAGGGCGCTTATTTACGCGGCAGCTGCCGCGGGGGCTGGTCTCCTGGGCTGCTGCGATCGCCCTGGAGCTGTGACCTTGGGACCACCTGGGGCCCTGCGGGTTGGGGCAGGGTCGTCAGCGCTGGGGCTGGTAAAGGTGGGCGCTGGGGGTGCCCTGTCGACGGAGTGGGAAGAGGGAGGCAGTGAGACCCGAGGGGTCCTTGCCACCCTGCCCCCTGCCATGCCGGCATGTCCACCCAGTGTCCCCACCCTAGGGTGCACGGTTTTCGCCCTCTTTCCCTCCCCCAGCCACCTGTCCCCTCCTGGCCTGCCTAGGTTTCTTCACTAACCTCCAGAATGGGGCAGGGGCTGTGACCCTGTGACCAGAGGGAAGGAGGAGGGGATGGCCCCTTATTCCACCAGGCTGAGGCATCTGTCTGGCGTCTGCTGAGCTTGGCTGTTGGGGCCAGATTCTCCCTCCTCTGGACAGAGCAGAGACCCCCCCCCCCGCCCTACTGTCTGCCCCCGTCCAGATCCCGGGAGGGCCTGAGCTATTCTGGGCCCCTGATCTGGGCATCGCATCACCGTGCCTGAGCTCTGATCCAGCCTGTCTCCCCTGGTGCCAGCCAGCTGGGCAGGGATGAGAGGAAGATGGCGCTGTCCCTGCTCGGGATGGGGAGTGGGAAACGCTGACCGTCTCTCCTTGGTGGCAGCTCTGCGGGTGGGGGTGGGGTGGGGTCGGGTGCAGTGTCCTGGCCCAGGACTCCGGGTGGGGGAGCAAGTCCTGGGGACAGGGCAGGGTGACTCATCAGCAGGCTCCTGACTGGTCATGGGGCTCACCCAGCCGGGTGTTTCTCGGTCCCTCCAGATGGGGGTGAATTTCTTTCGTGGAGGGGTATCTCTGCGGGCAGTTGGACTGTCTGGGCTTGCCACCGGGCTCTGCTTGGCCAAGCACAGGCTCGGGAGGCTCTTCCACCCCCACTAAGCTTGGAGACCTCAGGGCCTGGTCTGTGGGCAGGGTGTGTTCCCAGCCAGTGCAGGGCAGTGTCTTTGTTGGGCTTCCGTCTGAGGCCCTCCATCACCTGTGCCCCCCCCACCCCACAGAGTCCTGCTCAGCATCCCCCTCCCCCCGAGCCGGAGCATCCCCAGGTCGTGCCAGCCCCTCCCCACCCCCCAGGCAGCATGGGCAAAGAGAAGACCCATATCAACATAGTGGTCATCGGCCACGTGGACTCAGGCAAGTCCACCACCACCGGCCACCTCATCTACAAATGCGGAGGCATTGACAAGAGGACCATCGAGAAGTTTGAGAAGGAGGCGGCTGAGGTGAGCCCGGGAAGGGGCCCCCACACGGCAGCAGGGCCTGGGGCTCAGGTGATCTCCTCCAGGGCAGGGAGCAGGAGCCTCAAAGGACCCTGCATAGGAGACCTGTATGTCAGGGTGTTGGGGTGGGAGTGGTGTAGGGGGAGCAGAGGTGGCTGTTCTCTGAGAAGGTGCTTGGCGGAGGAGGTGGGATGGCCTGCTGGCCCTGGCCCTGGGGGAGGTGGGAAGTGGCTGGAGGCTGTCATCTGCTGGGCACAGGTCCACAGCAGGCTCACTGGACTTGAGAGGTCTGGGCCTGTCTCTGAGCCCCCAGGGTTGGGTTCCTGTGTCCCCAGGGCTGAGGTCTGGGGCTGGAGGTGGCGCTGTCCTGGCTTGTCCCAGGGCTGGGCCAGACTCAGGGTGGCTATTTATAGCTGACCGATGGGCACCCAGCCCATCAGCTCCACTTCCCCATGCCGGGTGGGGGCAGGCTGTTTATCCAGGATGGCGCCCTTGGAGGGCAGCGTCTTGGTCGCCTGGTGAGGATAAGAGGGCCCTACTGGCTGACCTCCCTCTCTTGAAGCCGGTCCTCTCACATGGCCGAGATCCATTGTGGGAAGTGTCCACGGAGTGGGGATCTGCTCTCTGTGTCCCTTCATAGGAGAAGGCCCGTCCAGGGGAGCTGTGAGGGCTCTCACCTGGATGATGGCAGGGCTGGGGTCAGGGCTGAGGAGGGGGCAGTGGCTGGCCTGGGCTGAGCCTTGCGGAGGGGGTGGGGGTGCTCCTGGGCCCATAGCTACGTCTCCCCTTCCTTGCGGGGCTGGTGTTGAGGGGCGCTGAGGGTGTTAGCAGGGTGTCTGGTTCAGGTCCAGCTGGGCCCTGGCTGCAGAGCCTCCTTAGAGGGCAGAGCCCTGTCCAGCTGGGCAGTGACCACAGCTGCTGCCCTGACTGCAGCCCTGGCCCTGGGCATTGGGGTCTCGTGGGCTCTGGGCACAGGTGTTGGCAGAGGGCAGCCCAGGCCTTGCTTCCCCTGCTCAGGTTGGGCAGGGAAGGGAGGAGGCGCCTCGGCGCCACTCGGGCGCTTTAGGGGCTGCAGAAAGAGCTGGAAAGCCAGGCCCCTCCTTGCAGCCTCATCCCATGTCTTTCTTTTTCCCTTAAAAAAAAATCACAGAGGGGTTTTTTGGTTGGACAGTCTGAAACCCAGTGGTGTCGTCAGCCGACACAGGGGTGGGGGGGGCTGGCTTCAGATAAAGGGGAGCCCTCGGCAGTGGGGGAGGGGTCGAAACCGCCTGGCGGCTTCTCTCCGAGAGTGGCTCCCAGGCCCTTGCGCCCCCTGCTGGTGGACGCTCGAATGGCGCCCGTTTAGGCGGCGGAGGCTGGCCCAGCGGGGCATGGGTATGCCCCGTTCCAGAGATGGGTCCAGAGTCCCAGGGTCCCAGCAGGACAGAGGGGCTTCTCCGCGGTGACATGCTGCTCCCACGGCCCAGGGGGACCCGCTGGCCGGGCCAGCATTGTCCGGGTCCCGTCCTGAGCCACGCCCCCACCCTTCCAGATGGGGAAGGGCTCCTTCAAGTACGCCTGGGTGCTGGACAAGCTGAAGGCTGAACGGGAGCGCGGCATTACCATCGACATCTCCCTCTGGAAGTTCGAGACCACCAAGTACTACATCACCATCATCGACGCCCCAGGCCACCGCGACTTCATCAAGAACATGATCACAGGCACCTCCCAGGTGGGCGGGGCCTGGGGCCTGGGGTGGGGCGAGGGTGCCCAGGTGGGCGGAGCCCAAAGGTGGGGCGAGGGCACCTGTCCTGGGAACACTGGGGTCCCGAGTCACTGAGGATAGTTGGGTCTCCTCTGCGTCCTCGCCAGAGCTTGAGACCTCTCACCTTTGTCACCACTGCCCCCCACCAAGAACTAATTAAGTCTCCTGGCATCTCAGCCCAGTGAGGATGCCTGTATGGACAACCGGCCACTGTCAGGGCCACCTTCACAGACACACGGACACAGGCCAGGATGGGGACACTGCAAATGTGGGCAGAAATGCACACAGACGGTCCTCGACAATCCGACATTGCCAGGAATTCATAGACAGACAGACACTGCCCCTGAGGGCAAGACCCCAGGTTCTACCCCAGGGCGACTGCCCAGCCCGCCGCCTGCTGCCCCGGGGGCCTAGGCCTGGGCACAGGGCGGGGCTGGGCTCACCGTACGGGACCTGCGGCAGGCGGACTGCGCTGTGCTGATCGTGGCGGCGGGAGTGGGAGAGTTCGAGGCCGGCATCTCCAAGAACGGGCAGACCCGGGAGCACGCACTGCTGGCCTACACGCTGGGCGTGAAGCAGCTGATCGTGGGGGTCAACAAGATGGACTCGACGGAGCCTGCCTACAGTGAGAAGCGCTACGATGAGATCGTCAAGGAGGTCAGCGCCTACATCAAGAAGATCGGCTACAACCCGGCCACCGTGCCCTTCGTGCCCATCTCCGGCTGGCATGGTGACAACATGCTGGAGCCCTCGCCCAACGTGAGTGCCCGGCGGGGGGCAGGGGCTGCTCAGACCCCTCACCGACGACCCTGGGTCAGGGTGTGGCACAGACAGCAGGAGCGGGAGGTCGGAGGGCCGTCCCTGGGCTCCCTTCGACTCTATCTGGCTCCCTGGGTCTGTACTAGCGCGGTGCCAGCCCCGGTGGGTGTCTGCGCTGGTGGGGAGCCCCAGCCTCTGCCCCTCAGTCCAGCCTCCTCATGAGGCTGCCTCCACAGCCCCTTCTCTGGCCAGGGACAACACCCCCCCAGCAGACACTGTGTGGGCAGTGGCCCAGGCCCACCTGCCACATCTCTGGGACACCTGTGTGGTGGGGTTAGTTTTCATCTTCCATGGGAGCCAGGGCCTAGAGGGCTCCCAGGTACCTCCCCGAGGCCTGGAGCAGGCCAGGCTCTCTGCTAGTCAGCCAGGAAGCTGGGGGCCCTGGCAGCCCGTGTCCCAGGGACTCTGACTCAACAGGGAGTGAGGAGTGGAGCCTGGTTGTTATGAATGTGTGGAGCCCAGGACCCAGTGCCTCGCACAGCCAAGCCAGAGGACACCCCTGGCCCGGCAGGGTGGGCTCATCCTGGTCAGGCTGCAGCTGCCCACACTGAGGGAGGCGGACATGGAGGGGACTTCAGGGAAGCCAGGGGAGACCTAGCTCTGGAACTCTGTGGTCGGGGGCTCCTGGGTCTGGCTGGGCAGCGTGTTTGGTGCTGTGGATGGCACTCCCCTCACTGGATCTCACATAGGGAGGGCTGAGCCAACTACGGGCGGACCTTCAACAGTGCTTTCTTCCTCCTGCCCAGATGCCATGGTTCAAGGGCTGGAAGGTGGAGCGGAAGGAAGGGAACGCCAGCGGTGTGTCCCTGCTGGAGGCCCTGGACACCATCCTGCCCCCCACACGCCCCACGGACAAGCCCCTGCGCCTGCCACTGCAGGATGTGTACAAGATTGGCGGTGAGTGAGGGCACCATGATCTGCCCATCCCACCAGCTCCACCCTCAGACCTCCTCCTGAGGACAGGCCCCTGACAAGGACCATCCATGGCCGGGTTATCTCTGCCTCTCCCTTCTGCTGCACACTCTCTGGGGGACCATCTACCCCCGTCTCCATCCACCCATCTATCTGTCCACCGGTCCACCTCACCCCAACCTATCCAGTATCCATTTGTCCATGTGTCCATCCACCTGTCCATTCATCCGCCCACCTACCCCCACCCACCCAGCAGTCCATCTCATATTTGCCAGGAACTTCCTCCCTCCAGAGAAGTGCCCAGCCCTCAGCCAGGACCTTGGCATGGGGTCAGTCACATGTTGCCCTTCACCTGGAGGTTTTGGTCTTGTGGGAGACAAGGTCTCTTCCAGGGATGGGAAAAGCTGTTTGTGAAATGGTACAGAAACCATGAATCAGTATGAGGCCAGTGAGGGGTGGCAATAGGGGCTCCTGGCCAGGCGGCTATGGTAAGAGACGTTGGGGGCCTGTGTGCAGGGTGCAGGTATCACGCTCACCCAGCACAGAGAACAGCCACCAACCTCAGTCTCCGTGAGGCCACGCGAGCCTCTGTCACAGCCCAGGAGGCCAGGGTGGAGCCCCCATCCCCTGCTCTGGGGGGCACCAGACACCTACTGAGTAGCCTTGCAGGGTAAGCAGACTGTGGCAAGTGTTGGGCGCCCGTGCCCTTCAGGACTGGCCCCGAGACCCCCAAGACCGCAGCACTGGGGCCAGCTGGGCCACCCCAGTGGGGCCCGCTCAATGTTGCTGCCCACAGGCAGGGTCCACCCCCCAGTGCCTCCTTGGGGACTGCTGCCACCCAGGGGCAGGGTGGGGCCCTTCCAGACTGCCTCCCCTTGCCTGTTTTCCTTATGTTCTGGGAACTTGCTACCTCAGTCCCTTCTTCTCCTAGTGGGGCCGGGGGAGCCTCCACTTCTGTCCACATGTCTCAGTGTCTGCCTCGCTCAGTGTCTCCCTGTCCCCTCCCTCCCTCCACATGGCCACCCCTGCCTGCCAGGGAGAATGGGGAAGCCCTTGGCCCCTGCCTGCCCTCATGGCCCCTTCCTTTCACCCAGGCATTGGTACCGTGCCCGTGGGCCGGGTGGAGACGGGCATCCTTCGGCCAGGCATGGTGGTGACCTTTGCGCCAGTGAACATCACCACGGAGGTGAAGTCAGTGGAGATGCACCATGAGGCACTGAGCGAGGCCCTGCCCGGCGACAACGTCGGCTTCAATGTGAAGAATGTATCCGTCAAAGACATCCGCCGGGGCAACGTGTGTGGGGACAGCAAGTCTGACCCACCCCAGGAGGCTGCCCAGTTCACCTCCCAGGTGGGCAGCCTGGTGGCCAGGGGGGCCCACCCCAAGTCGTCACCAGGGCTGTCCTCAGTGAGGTGGCTGCCTGGAGCCAGGGAGGACCCAGATCCCCACTATACCAAGGGGGCCGCTGAGCCTGTGGGGTCCACCCTGGCTGAGGGTGCTTGCAGAAATAGCAGATGGGTGCAGGCCCAGGTCTTGTTGCTCCCAGCCTCACTGAGGTCCCACTTAGGTCCTGAGAACACTTTTATCAGTTTATTGGCTGGGACAGGTCTGTGATGTTCTTATTCTCTACATTTTCACTATGCCCTCTTTGGTCACCTCGTACATGACTACAATTTTTAAAATTGGCTTTACTGAGATACAACTGAAAGATGGTCACCAAGGTCCAGTCTTATCACCAGCGCCTTTGTCCTTGTCTGTCTCTTGTGGCTTTTCAGGGGCTTGATGAGGATCATAAGTCCAGGTCTGGGGGCCTGGGTCCCCCCCCCAGCCTGACCTTCCCCATGCTCAGCACTCTGCCCCCAGGGACCCAGGAGGTGGGCAGAGCCTCCTTCAACTTGGTGCCCTCCCCAGGTGCCCACCTTGGGCCTGCCTGATGGCCTTGTGCAACCCTGCCCACAGGTCATCATTCTGAACCACCCTGGGCAGATCAGCGCCGGCTACTCACCGGTCATTGACTGCCACACAGCCCACATCGCCTGCAAGTTTGCCGAGCTGAAGGAGAAAATTGACCGGCGTTCTGGCAAGAAGCTGGAGGACAACCCCAAGTCCCTGAAGTCCGGCGATGCGGCCATTGTAGAGATGGTCCCAGGGAAGCCCATGTGTGTGGAGAGCTTCTCCCAGTACCCTCCTCTCGGTGAGTTGGGTGGTGAAGGAGGGGCTGGGGGGAGAGGGGGGCAATCTAGGCCAAGGGTGGAGGACCCCTGCTGGGGGAGGTGGGTCCTGCACTTTTCTTCTGCGGCTTAAAGCTTAGCAGAAGCCCCCAGCCTTGGTCTTTGTCTCCAGAAGCACAGGTGGCTCCACTGGGCAGGTCTGGGATGGTGTCCCTCCCTGCAGATGAAGGCCCCTAAGTGACTTGCCCAAGGTCCACAGCTAGTCTAGTAGCAGAGTTAGGATTAACCACCCACCTCCAGCTGGCCCGCCCCAGATAGATACCCACAGGATGACCCACAGATCTATATCGGAGAGCTGCCTTATGCAAGGTTGCTGGCCATTGTTAAAATAGCTAAAAGGGCACATTCGGTGCCAGGCATGTTCTAAGGACGGGTCACATGCCATTTAATTCTCACAACAAGGCCTTGGCCGAGTTCTATGTGAGTCATTCCTGCCACCGAAGTTAGGAGACGGGAGCTTCCCACTCCACTGCCCCTCCCCCCACCCCAAACCGGCGCAGGGATTGGGGCGGATGCTGCGGGCGCTAGTGCGCCTGCGCGCTGCATCCCGGCCCGCGCCTCACGCCCTCTCCGCCAGGCCGCTTCGCCGTGCGCGACATGCGGCAGCGGTGGCTGTGGGCGTCATCAAGAACGTGGAGAAGAAGAGCCGG